GGGCATGGTCTTAGAAGGGCCTTTTGTTTGGCCTAGTACTCTCCTGTGGCCGTCTTGAAGCTCCTTCTGGTTTGGGAAGAGGGAGGGTCTGTGTTTTCATTTTATAAAAGAGCAGCAGTTTATGTGCCTGGCCTTGCTTGTAGTACTTACATACTAGGCTAGGAGCTTTTGTATCTATTATTGCAGGTATTGTCATAAATAAGGAAACTGAGGCTTACAGAGATTTAAAATAATTCAGCTACCTGGTGCAATCCAGTTCTTTCTGATTCCACATCTGATTCTTATCACATCCAACACCTCTGTGCCCTTTAATGTTTCACATTGTGTTTAGTTGTTTCTGGGTTTGGTTTTTCTGCCTTTTTGTGGTACCACAGGGCTCTGTCATAAATCTCTGAGCTGAAGTATTAACTAGAAGAATGTTTGGAAAATGTCAATAAGCTAATCGTTTTCATTTTAAGGGGCTGTATCAGCCTCCATCATTCTTCCCCCTGGTTTGTAGAGCAAAGGCTTGTGGTCCTTCCCTCCTTCACCCTACTAGTGTCAGAATTCCAGAAGTGACAGTGGTTCTAGCCTTTGAGTTCCACTGTCATCCTTTGAGGTCTAGGACCTGCTTTCTGCCCAGGATCTTCCTGGGAATTGGGAAAGTATTTGGATCCAGTTCCAATTGGTCTTTTAGATCTCAGGGCGTTCTGGTTCTGACCGCTCTTCTGATCTAGTCCAGGCTGAGAGGTACCACTCAACAAGGCAGTCCCTGTCCTACCTTCAGAAGTTTACTGTTCTTATTGTTGCTGGGTCCCATCTTTCTGTCATGGTGTCTTTAGGCAGAACAGAAAATTTAAAAATCAGGACAGTTGAAAGAAAATAACATAAGGAGAAAAGCTAAAGAAGTGAAATGATTTGATTTGGAGAAGAGACACTGCTAAAACTATTAATATGCATAGAAGCACACTGCTGATGCCATGGGGACCAGTCACCTGCTGTTTCATCAAGAGATGAAAGAGTCGATTTTTCATCTCTGAAGAGTAATTTAGGTTAGGGATTTAGACTCTGTGGTGGGACTGTGAGCTGTGACATGTTGAAAATTGTTTCCAGAAGGGTCAGTATGATCTCTTTCTTTGGTGTTCTTGTAGAAGGAGGTGGTGTTCATAAGGAAATCTTTCCCCTAAGAGTCATGCTTTATTATTAAAACAACTTCCCCAGTCATTATGGGCTGGATTTTGAGAGGAGTGACCCTCCAGTCCTCCAGAAGTTTATGGCCCTCTACTGCTCTTAGAGACTTGAATTCTTAGAAAAGTCTGTGTTCAGGACAGAGGGTCCCGAAGTCTGCTGGGGCTGGGGTGAAGCAACCTCGGAGTTTGACCCTGCCTAGCCAAGCCTTGGCCTTGGCTGGCTTAACGAGACTTGCAGAAATGTGACTGCTGTTACTTTGACTTGAACTTTTATGGATATTGATGTTGATTCAGGGAGTCTGAGTGTTTTCAAGGTTCTTTATACACTGAAGAGCTGTGTTGAGGGAGATTGTGATATTTATTATGAAGTGCACCCCCTCTTCCCCAAATAAAAAAGTTCATGTGTTGAAGGCTTGGTCCCTAGCTAGTGGCTTTATTGAAAGGTGACTGGAACATGGGGCCACTAAACTCATCAGTGGACTATTCAGGGGTGAGGTTTAGTGAGAGGAAGGATGTTATTGGGGGGCCTGTTATGAAGCTTATATCTTGTTCTTGGACCCTTCCTCTCTCCTTCCTGGCTGCCCCGAGGTGAGCAGCATTCCTCTGCTATGTCTTCTACCATGGCGTTTCTGTCTTGCCACAGGCTTAAAGCCAATGGAGTCAGCTGACCATGGACTGAAATCTCTGAAACATAAGCCCAAATAAGTCTTTTCCCTTTTTAAGATATTGTTGTCACAGCACTGAAAAACTAATACAGGGAAGTTATTTAATAATCCAATATCTACCAGGTGTGATAGTGCATGCCTTTTATCCCAGCGTCCTGGAGGCAGAGGCAGGGGGATCTCTGTGAGATCCAGGCCAGTCTGGTCTGTATAGCAAGTTCCAGAGTTCCAGGCCAGCTGGGACTGCAGGGAGACCTTGTCTCAGAAAACAAACAAAAATAATCTGCTCCACCCCCCTTCACGTTCATGTTGTTTCTTTACCTCCTGGGATCAGTCTGTTTGTGCAGTGTCCCCGGTAAGTGTTTATCTTCAGTCAGTGTTACCGATAGAAGGGGTTTGCATAATGATGATCATATGCACTCCCTTCTCCCCACATTTGAATGTACATATTGTAATCCGTGTTGACTACTGTTAGCCAAGATGTGCTGGCTGGATAGCATCATTTTCCTTTTATGAGACTCAGAGATATCAGAGTAGGGCATGGAAAATGCTCTGCTTTAAACCGTCAGACAGGATCAAGGTGGTTATTGTACGAGTAGTCTTCCTTAGTGAGTGGTGGAGAATGCCAACACTAAGGTTTTTCTCTGGCCTTCTCACTCAGTTGGCCAGTGCCGCCGCTCAGGGTAGGGGGCAAAGGGCTCCTGTATTCATAGAAAAGTTGCACCTTGATCGCTATGGGGCAAGTTTGAAAATGTGCTACTTACATTTTGAGAATCTAATTAAAGTTTGGACCCTCAGGGTTATGCTTGTTTTAATTTATGTCACTGTCGACAACCAATAGAGATTCCTATGTGCCTACCTGTCTCTGACTAATTCTCCCCTGTTAATGTTTTAATTCACACTGATGAGAACTGATGAGAGATATCTAAACAGTGGATGGTAATTTATGTAGTCTGACTGTTTTTCTTTATATCTGCATATGCCTGAATGTCAATAGAACTTTGACCTTTCTCGAGACTCCACCGAATGTAGTTCAAGAGCATTATGTGTTCACTAGTGCAAGCCTGGGTGTCTTACAGAATCTGTGAGCAAAATCCTTCCTTGAGGTCTCAGTTGTTTTCCTAGTCTTCTCAGACTGAAAACCAGCACTAAATCTACCAAGGATTTTATCTTGAGCTATATTGACATTTTCATCATTGACAGTGATATGCCTGTAAATTTTTATACTAACCTATAAACTTTAAAGTACAGCAGTCAGTAAACAGTCAGCATTTTAGAAAACAGTAAGAACATTTTATTTCAAAGCCAAGAATCTTAAAGGGGGGATCAGGAGTAAATCATCAATGAGACATCACTTCAAAGAGACAGTTGGGCTGAGGAGTGGTTTCTCTGTGTCCTGTGAAACAGCAAAATTAAATATGGCTGATACTCTATTTGGGGATTTAGATGCTTAAAGATGTGTAGCAATTACTGAGCACCGATGCATGTCAGGTTTTTAATGTGGGAAAGTCCAAACTGGTTTATTTGACAAGGATGCATGATGTATAGAGTGTGTTCTGTCATTAGAACATCTGGTTGTATCTGCCCAGTGATGAATAAACAGGTGTCCAGCAGCCCCCATTTTAAGCATTCCCAGCTTTTGTTCAGCAGTCACGGGATGGAAATCTGTACTCCAGGTTTTCCTTTGTCTCAGTGTGTAAGATGAACCTAGAATGTTAAACATTTAAGTTACTTAACAGGAGTAATTATTTCTAGATAGCTCAAATTTGAAGATGCACTTTATGCTTAAAATCATGAGTTTAAACACTGATGTCATTGCTTTTTTAAATGCATGTAGAGAATTTCAAGTGGAATAATAGTAACAACAATATTACCATTCTGAATGCTTTATGGATAAATTTTCACCGGAGTGCATTTTGAAGTAGGATTTATTAGCTTCCCCATTGTGCAAATGAAGAATCCAAGGAGCAGAGAATTTAAGCAATTTGCTGGGTCATTCGTGGCAGGTAAGATTTGAACATAGGCAGATAGCTTCTAAACTATTTTGTATAATAGTGTGTGTATATGTAGATTAGATTTAATCTTGCAAGAAGGATATTCTAATTATGGGCACCCAGTTACCTTTAATTTTCAAATGAGAGTCTCAAGAGCAGTTAAGACTAAATGGGACCTGGGAAAAGGTATGGATTAGTAATCTAGGTGGGGCAACCCTGATACGAATTTAGTAGAGACTGGTATTAACATGTGCAGACTGGGGGATGCCAGGAGCCCCTGGGGCCACAGGTAGGTGGGGTGAGTTGAAGTTGGGGAGATAAGAATGGCACTAGGAGTTGATAACAGTAAAGAATTCTGGGGACAGTGGGGTTAATGCTCAGGATGGAGAGACCCAGTTAGAATGTTTAAAAGGAAGACAATAATAAATTGCTTATGAGACATCAGCTTATGTGTGTGTGTATCTTTCCAAGAAGTTGATTAAACTTTCGAATATATGCTTTATATACTTTAGGGAAAACTTCCCTATAATAATATATTAGCTCATTCACTAAAAACTGATTTTTTTCAGACTCATGCTGTTTACCTTGTTCACAGGGATGTGATTCCCCCCCCACCCCAAACAGAGAAGTAGCCTTCACTGAGCAAACATTTTGAGACTAACCTCCTTCCTTCTAAGTTGGAAACATTCCTGTCGTTCCTGTAATCGCTGCCGGGGTTGTGTGGAATTAGAACAAAACAAGGAAAAGCTTCAACACTTTGAATAAATGAGTATGCACTTGCCCAGACTGGAACAAAAGTGGCCTGTGGTGCCGAGGATGGCATGTAGCTTATTTCTTAATGGAAGTGCTTGCCTCTCATGGAGTGATGCTTGCTTCGGGAGCGTGCATGTAGTCTGTGTGTGTGCCTCTGTGTGTCTCTGTGTGTTCATGTTCATTTTCTGCATTCAGCCTGCGTCACTCCTGTCACTCCTATGGTAATCCGTATCTCTCAGTGACCTCGTAGGTGAGGTGAGGAGGGAGTCTTTGATGGTTAAAGACCTACACTTCCCAGACATTAAATTTACAGAATGCCTTGAGGGCTTTAAGGGCTGCACTAAGAATGCGTGCCTCATTCCTACAGTGGCGGCAGCCCTGAGCAGATGCTTCCAGGGTGCTGTGTGGCTGTGCTTTTCAGTTTGGGACAAAGTTCTGTAATCATAGCTCATGGATTTATTTTCTCCACATTGTAAAGCCTGGACTGTGAAGATGCCATCATGCCATCCAGGGCAGCATGAACCAGGTTCTTGGGGCTGCTGAGGATTTCTTTGCCTTTCCCTCCTTTTTGAAGATGTGTATCAGAAAAAGGCTTTGCCTTTAGACAGAAATTTTACTGCTTTGGCCAATAATGTGTAGCAATATTAAATTTAATGGCAGACCTTGAAGTGTATAAAAACTTAAGTCCAGAAAAAGGTAAGACTCATATCATTAATTTTAAGGTAAGTGTAATAGCTCTAGTAAAAGATTCCTTGTTTTATTTCATGTTCGGTTAAGTTGAAGATTTATTTGAATTGTTGATGACATATTTGAGATATTATATTTCAATTTGAATCGAAAAAGGTAAAGTTTTTTTGATTAGGTGAAAGTGTTTTCTTTTTGAAAATGTGTGTTTGCGTGCTGGTGGATGTGCATGCTGACATACTAAAAGTGCATCATTATAACAAAGTGGTCAGGGAGAAAATAATTTGTATTCTTGTTATAAGTCAAGGACACAGACATGCTAAAAATTTCATCTTATATAAACAGTGGACTTTAATTTAAGAGTTGTCAAGTCTTGTTCACTTTGAATAGTGATGAGTAGAGTTGCATTTTCACTTTCTACAGTCATCTAGGGAGGGTGATTTCTAATGTGTATCAGTTAAAGAGAGTCACGGGCAGGGAAAAGAATTAGCTTAAGAAATGAAATGGCATTAGTATTCAGCACAGATAAAATGGCTGCAGAATCCGTGTATCGTGTTCTTAGACTCTGTCTATCAGCTCCAGGAACACAAGGGAAACGCTCCGAAGCATGAGTTAGGAGGTTGGAAATTAGAAATGGATGGAGATGGTTCTTGCCTGCTCAGACAGAACAAATGACATGTCAAGAAATGTCTTCTAAACTCATCTTCCAGCTGAAATTCATGTGTCACTTCAGATTATTTGTGCAGGTTGACTGAGATGTAACTTCCCGGGGCCGACGCTCCCTCTGAGAGCCTGTCTAGAGGTTGTTGCTAGTTTATGATTTCCACCTCAGCATGCTGTGCTCACAGAACCAGCCCTGATGCTTGCATTTTGTTCAAAAATATATACATGGTACTATGGCCGAGATTTCCTGCTTATACCTGGATTTTACAAGTCTGGAAAGGAGCCTTCGTACAGAAATAGGATAGGATTTGGTGTACTTGATACACAGTTCATTAGAAGGATTCTCATTTAGAGCTCTCTCTTTTCCTGTGTTTGGGAACTCTCTTGTTTGCAGGATGGAGTAGTGAATTGCATTGTGTGACATACTCTCAGGACTGGCTTAACCACCTATCATGGAAGTAGTGAATGATTTTTATTACTTTTACCACATAATGTGGGCCTTAAGAATGAAGTTCAGATAAATTGATTCTTAAACATCACGAAAATTTGAATTAGCTTTTCCAGCCATGTAAACTTTAAAAATGTTAATATATGGTGTCATTTAAAGATAGATATTTTCACATATAGATGGTCTTACTAGAGGGTTTTTTTTTTGTATTTTATTTAATATATTTTCTTTGACTTGTTTTAATAATTTATTTTGGCTGAGTGAAAAATTTCCTTTTCTGACTCCATCCTAATTTTAAAATCGTCTCTGTTAGTAACAAGACCATTTTTTAAAAGAACTATTTCTTTTAAATCCCAGATAGATTTTACTGGAACATCTTAAGTTATGCAGAATATGTAAAATTAATAAGAATTTGAATTCTCATGGAGTCTGAGTTCCACTCTTAAATAGTAACAGTGGAAGTGGCTTCAACTGACTGAGTTACAAAGTTGAGAAATGTCCGTTCACAGAGAGAAAGATCAAATAGAACCCCCCTCCAAGTTTTGGTGGTAGATTGTTATTCTTAAAGCTATCTTATTAAACGTGAAATGAGTTTATAAGCATACTTATACATTTTTGTACAGGTTTTATTCATCACATACCTAGAAAATTATTGTTGTTATTATTAGCCTTGAATTTTTTTAATGTGCTAAATCTGCAAGTTGGGAACTGGAGAATCATCTCAGTGTTTCTCAGAACAGTCTGAGAGAAGGTCGGGGCTTCAGTTGTGATGGGAAATCAGAAATAGAACAAGCTTAAGGCATGTAAGGCTCATATTTTTATATCTCATAATGTCTATGAACTTGGACTTAAATTTTTTTTAACTGACAAGATATAACACTGTTTCCTTACCTCACAGGGTTGTGAAAAGAATTATTGGTATACTGTCTTTGAAAATATTTGGAAAACAGAAAAAGATTATAGAAATGCAAGTTAATTAGAAAGAAGGGTAATGGGGCCGGAGAGAGAATGGTTCAGCAGGTAAAGGCTCCTGCTGCCAAGCCTGATAGCCCGAGTTCGAGCCCCCAGAACCCACATAGTGGAAGGCGAGAAATGACTCCTGCAAGTTGTCCTATACACATCATACACAGTCACACAGACACATGCACACAAATAACAGGTTGAAAAAAAAATGAACTAAGGATAATGTACATTTCATCTACTTTAATTGAAAGGAAATTATATTCATTCTGGGGTGCCAATGAAAAATACTTGTCCTAGAACTTGGGTACCATCTGCTAATTTTCACCATGGCTTAGTATAGCTTAGTATAGCCTGCATGCCAGCCATGTGCACACTGTGTAGCATGCCTTATGGAAGGGCAGATGTCACTGTAGGAGAGTTCTAGATTTCTGGAGCAGAAAGAAACTGTAACAATCTTATTTTTTCATAAAGAGATAAAATAGGCATGGAGAGGCTGCCTAATTTTCTTGAACATACTGAACAGATCTGCAGCTAGAACTGAGGCCTCCAATTCCCACCATGGCTGGATCTACCCTTTTCACTTGCACTAATTTTTGTTTTTAGGAGATGCATTTTAGTATTTGTGATGTCACTTATGTTATACCGTTTAAGTTCTTTACACAGGCTGCTATTTAAGGAGAGGAAAATAGAACATTTTGAGACTTCTTTTTCTTAAAATTAAATAATTTATTATTATTAGTTTTGGTATTTTCGAGACAGGGTCTCCCTGTAGCCCCAGCTGGCCTAGAACTCTCTATGTAGACCAGGATAGCCTCAAACTCACAGAGATCTGCCCGCCTCTGCTTCCCGAGTGCTGGGAATTATTTGTTTGAATGTCTCTCTGTGTGTATGAGAGCGCATGTGCATGCATGCCACCGTGCAGTTGTGTGGTAGTTCTAGAGGACAACTTGGCTGGATCTGGGGATTGAACTCAGGTTGTCAAGCCCTTAAATAAGCATCTCTACCTGCTGAACCATCCTGCCAGTCCATTTTTTTCCCTAAATTTTATTTATTGTCTTGAAGAATTCTTCTTCTTTTTTTTTTTTTTTTAAGATTTATTGGGGCTGGAGAGATGGCTCAGCAGTTACGAGCACTGACTGCTCTTGCAGAGGACCCGGGTTCAATTCCCAGCACCCACATGGCAGCTACGAACTGTCCTTAATTCCAGTTCCAGGGGAATCTGAAGCCCTCTTCTGACCTCTGAGGCATTGCACAACATGGGAGCACTCACATACATGCAAGCAAAACACTCATACACATAAAAAAATAAAAATAATAAATAAAATATTAAAAAAGATTTATTTTATTTTTAATTATGTGTATGTATGTGGGTATGTGCACCTGAGTGCAGGTCCCTGGGAGGGGAACAGAGGCCATTGGATACCACTGGAGCTGGAGTTGCAAGTGGTTGTGAGCTACCTGATGTGGATGCTGGGAACCATAATCAGGCCCTCTGGAAGAACAGTATGTACTCCTAACCACTGATCCATTTCTGCAGTACTTTCTCGTAGAATTCTTAACCACTAATAATTATTTGGCATAATCAATAACAATATAGTAAGTACTTTAAGGGGTACTGGTTGGGCTATGAAGATGAATAAAAGTATTTACCTCTTACAGTGACTCCTGACCTACTACACAGACATGTTTATATCCCTGTAATGAAGAAAGGGCTTTTTGGGGGTACTCTGAGTATAGAAAAGTCATCACAGGACTCCTGGAGATGACATTTTAGCTGAGGCTTAAGGGATGAGGAGGATTATATCAGGTAGAAAAGCAAAGATTGAAGTTTAGGAGGGAAGCAAGGACTAGGTGTTATAGTAAAGGCCTGGTAATCCAGGTTAAGGGATTTGGATGTTTTTAAAAGCAACAGAAAGTTTTGAGCTGGGAAGAGATGAATCAGATTCAAGTTCTTTTTTAAAAAGGTATTTTGAGACAGGATCTCATATAGCTCATGCTAGCCTCGAATTCACCTCCCAAGTGCTGAGATTACAGGCATACACCATCATACCCAGCTAGATTCTAGATTTAAATTAAAAAAAATATTTTATGTGTACAAGTGTTTTGCCTATGTGTATGTAAGTGTACTTGTGTTATGCAATGCCTATGGAGGCCAGAAGAGTGCTTCAGATCCCATGGAACTAGAGTTCTGAATGGTTATTAGCCTTCATGTGGGTTCTGAGAACAATCAGTGATTTTGACTACTGAGCCATCTCTCCAGCCCCAGATTCTAGTTTTAGAAAGACCTCTAACAGCAGTTTGGAGACTGATGGTAGAATGGGTAGGGTTGGAGCTAGGAGACCAGAGGCCTCCACTGGAGTTTGTTAGCTAAATGATCTTTCATAAGGATACACTGGGCTTTCATCCATAGTGGTAGCCTTTGTCCCTGACCAAAGCTGCCCTGGAACTTGCAGTGTTTCTTCTGCATGTGCTTTTTGTCTAGACCAGCCTTGTATTTGGGATAAATTAGGTACACAGGAACAATATTCTGGTAAGACACTTAACATTTCTCATTTCTGTTGTAAGTTTGTGACTTCTTTTTTGTCTTTTTGAGACAAGGTCTCCCTGTAGCCCCAGCTGGCCTGGAAATTGCTGTGGAGACCGGGCTGGTCTTAATCTTACAGAGTTCCACTTGCCTCTGCCTCCAGAGAGCTGGGATTAAAGACGTGCACCACCACACAGTTTGTGACTTCCTATCTGTTAAACAGAATTCTGCTTAATTATGGATATCCCTGTTCTTTTACAGTGAACAAAAAAATGGTTTTCTGGAGAAGTCGAGATAACCCCTCACCAGGCTGCAGGATTTTGGTTGGAGTATTAATCATATTGATTATAAAATCCATCCAAAATAACAATGGGGTAGGGAGGTCAGTGTCTTTTCTTGATGGTTAGTTTCTTT